AATCAACAGGGATCTGGGTCACTGGGACCCGCCAAGTTTCACGGATCGAGTTACTTCGGCATGAGGAGCTTCATCGGACAAGTGAGACTTTGCCAAAATACATTGCTACTGGGCAATGAAAAAACGACAAGAAACTACTTTGATCACTTGAAAATATTTTTGACCATTACCAGGGTTTTTTTACACGATCGTTGTCATCCAGATTCCAGATGAGGCAAGACGAACACAACGAAGAAAAACATTGTTGAAATCACCGATTACTGTATACATTGTGAGAAATGCTATTTATAAACTGCAGATATACCGTACACCACAGGATAGCGATTGGTGCCCAAACACATATTATGTTTCTTCATTTACACTGCTCATATGCATCATGACAAATGTATTTCGTTCTAGTCCAAAGATCTAGAACTATAATTGGATAAATTGTGGACATTCCACGGTATCATTTTATGAAGATGTGAAGACGACATGGCAGGTAGGTTTTGAAACCAAAGACGTACGCGTTTGTTGAAAAGTCTTGGAATCGTTTGGTAGATTTATATTACCATTAAAACTTACGTCCTTGTTGTCAAACGACCCACGTGAGTGGGTGTTTACATGACGTCACCCGTTTACGCATTAACCAATGAAATGTATGTGTTATCATGACGTCATATTGACCTGTCAAATCACTTGTATAAGCTCCGCCCACTAGTGCCTTTTGAAATCTCCATTTGCGACAAAATGTGAAACAGTTAGGGCAAGTCACTCACACGGTCAGGTAGTTTGAGCAATCACGCATGACTCTTAGTCATTTCATATGAAAAAAGTAGCAGTTATTCGTCTGAACGGGCGAGTATGTAGGACAACCGGTAAACAAGAAATAGCGGCACAGATATGATGCGAACGTGCCCTGTCGATGACTTCGGGCTTGGCCATTCAATGTTTAGGTTATGACCATGAACCTCCTGCCCATAAATATACACTATACCAACTTAATATTAACGATTATAGCTATCTTTCCATATCTTTGATTTGAATATTTTCTGTAAATCAGCATCATAAACAAAAAGACAATCTGCACTGTCGGTTGGTATGTAGCGCCGTGCTAAATCGCCATGACACACAGTCGATAAACATATGCAATACTTGAACAAAAAACTTCCGTGACCGACTAAACGTTAGTACTCTTACGCCAATAACTGTACAGTGGGGACAAGTAAACCTTTCTGACCAGTCAGATCAGATTTCTTTTTCAAATTGGCTGTCTGATATAATAATAGTTACGTGTATGTGACATGGGTGCATAATAAAAAATTGCCTTCATTCGCATGAAGTTCAAAATGGCAGAAAAGGATCGAGAAGCGCGGTAACCACATTACTAATCTCGCCATATTTCGCAATCCGTAGCACTGCATAAAATATGAGTTACACGATATTAACGTTGAGATGATTAGGGTGATGATGGTTATTAATTCATTCAATGAACGTCATAAATGTAATGGAAATATACACTGTCGTTTTCTCATGTGTACCGACCATCCGCCATTACCGATAGTCGATAAAAATATACAAAACATGTAAATAAACTTGTTCATAAAGGAGTGAACAGAACTGTATTTACGTGAATAAGTATACAGTTGGGAAAAATATGTCTTTCTGACCACTCAGGTCATATTTTTTCTTATGAACAAGGATTTTGTCGGAAAATATTTACGTGCATGTGACATGGGTGCATGGTCCCGTGGCACCAAGAGGGGTTAAGCGCGGACGTACATCACTTGAAGATGACCCACGGTCTTGCAAACCAGCAGATGTCATCACAGATGAAATTGTGGCCAAAGTTCAAAATATAATTATGACTGATCGCCTCATCAAGGTGGATGAAATTGCCTCAGAGTGTGTTATTTCTCATGGAAGTGTTTGCAATATCATCCATGAACGTTTGCATATGTCTAGAGTGTCTGCCCGATGGGTACCCCGAAATCTGAATGCGCAAGATCGTCACCAACGAGTGGAATCAAGTCGAGAGCTCTTGGACATTTATAGGGCAGATCCAGAGAATTTTCATGCTCGTCTTGTGACTGGAGATGAAACCTGGATTCATCATTGGGATCCAGAAACCAAAAAGCAGTAAAAGCACAAGACATCTCCGCCGCCAAAGAAGTTTAAGACTCAGCCATCTGCTGGAAAGATCATGGCCACCATTTTCTGGCATTCCAAGCAGGCCACAAAGTTAACAAAAATTCAAAGGAGCCACTTGGCTCCTAAAACATTTTTTCAAGGAGCCAAATAGAATTTCAAGGAGCCAAGACAAAATGTAAGGAGCCAAAAGTAATGACTTGTAATTTAACTGAGCTTCTGCTAACAAAAAAAAAATCAATTAGTTTGAATAATCAGTTTTATATCATGAACAACAACTGTTGACGTGTTGTTGAAGCTTTTGAGTTTTTCAGACAAACAAGCTTTAGAACATTGTGTCCGTAACATCATCTGACAGTTTACTGGTGCCAGTTGCAGGTTTTGGTTTCGATGGTGTCGGGTTATAGCGAAAACGGCACCTCAGCAAAACGTCACCGGGCGAAAACGGCACCTCGACTCGAGCAAAAACGGCACCTTATTATTTTTTTTACCTTGGTCAAATGAATGATATTAAACTTACATTGTAACTTGCACAGGCCAATAATTGTGAGATGTTAAAACAAGTTTACATTAGAAATTAGCCTCTGCTCCAACTATAATCCAACTTAGCTTATACGCAACTCTACTTATGGTGAAAACATAACATGCTTTGACGAAAGATATCAGAAATTAAACTCACATCGTCTCTTACAAACACAAATAATTGTGAAATAAAACAAATAAGAAATTAGCCCCCTACTCCAATTTACTCACCGACTTTTATTCACTATACGCTTTGAAGTTTTAAGTACCTTTACTCAATTTAAGCTGAAACTGTATTTAAGAGGCCTAACATGGTGCTGTCAGATCACAATTATTCACAATGGCCTTTCGATGTGTTGCATGCGAGAAGAATGACAGAAAAAAAATCAACATGCTGTATCATGTGATAACTGTGACCAGTGGAACCAGACTTTCTATGGCCCGTTATAGAGAAATTTGCCGTACTGACTTCCCTTTCCGCTGTGTGAAATGCGTAGCTCACGTCATTGAAGAGGTGATCGGTAACTTTCATGTCAGTTTCCAATCAGAAGATGCTGAAGAAATGAGAGTACTAAACCTATCGGAAATTCACATTACGGCTTCAGATGTACTCAATACATCAAATACCATGTAAATAAACCCTATATATTACTACACAAATCGTTGTTATCGTTATTAAACATAGAGGTTCCGTATTCGCCCGACACATAGTGTGCCGTTTTCGCCAGAGAAATCGGTGACATTTTGCTGAGGTGCCGTTTTAGCCTGCACCCAACGTGTCGACAGACGACGAAACTTCCGTGTCAGCTTCGCCATTCAAAGCATTCCGTATTATCTTGAGTATACTGCGCATTTATTTCCAAAAAAAACCGCAGCTGTGTAGAAGGGGATGCGCATTATACACGAAATAATGAGTTTTGATTTTTTTCCCCCATGGAAAGACATTACCGTGAGCACGTAACACCGGAAATACCATGTCAACAAATCCATACTGAAGTACGCAAATAAATCATTTAATTACACTGTCTGACTATAAAAAGTGTTCTTTGTATATCTGGACTTATGTTAGTAACTTATTTCATTAATTTTATTCAAAATTACTTTTAATATTGTTTTAATTTATTTCGGCAAAATCGTGTGTGAAGCGATCGGAAGATCTTACTAACGGTTATTAAGAGAAACCACGGTCAGATTACCACTATTGACGCCTTGAAACGAACTTTAGTTGACAGAGAATGGATACATTTGTCATAAATGCCATACTTTGACTCGTTAAAAGTCATATTTGTTTTTGTTGGACGATTCTATGTCAACTCGTAATTCTCGCGATCACGTGCACGGGAGCCTTGACGGTGACTGGTCAGACTGTGTGTTCCATGTAAAACCATGTAATACCCGGTAATAGCAATCAGCTGCTTCGCTGATTTTATTATTATTTCAAATATGTTTAGTAAAAGCTGCATCTAAATTAACAAGATATTGGAATATATTATTCCTGATAAAAAGTAGAAGTTTCAGATACATTTTTTGCCGATCCTTGCATTAAAACCCTGTAAAGTTATATCATTGGGTGTGGCTTGACTGAATCACCGGTAAATTCCAAGAAATTGTGTGTACAGCTGATTGCTGTGTCCGGCTTAGTTTACGAGAAGATACACATGGTAATCTTAATCCCTGGATATAAAACAATGCCTAGCAGAACACAAAAATACAATTTAAACCGTAAATCAACATGTCTCGTGATTTTTTATCTCAAATTTCATATTTGTACTGACCAAGTTTCTCATCACCCGTTCGTTTGCCGGACTTCGCTTAAGGGGTAGATATATCTACGGTGTAAGTTTTTTTCTGCGCTTGGTAGATCTTTTCGATTTTTTTTCAGGGGTGGATATTTAAAAAAAACTTCACTTGCCATCGGACAAGTTTAAAGACAATTTTCACTTGCCCTGATTTTATTTTTACTTGCCCAAATAATTTCAAAATAAAACTTCAAATAATCAATGGATCTATGTGTTTATCTCTTTCAACACCGTAGGCCGGTTTTCCGGCCAAGCCGTAGTCACGTCAAAATAGTATATATTTGTATGGACCTACCTATAATATCATTCATTTATTAAATCTATCACATTTCACAGTGTCTGAAATACGTATTCCATATCAATTTATCATTTTTTTTATCAATAAATCAAAAAATTATTCACTATTTCCCGCGATGTTATTGAAAATGTAATTCTCGGACACACATTTCAACAACGGGTCCACATCGAACATGTCAAAGAGCAAAATAAAGACGTTTTAAACAAATCTTTAATATATTATACAAAGTAATAAATAAATTCAACAAAAATATATCTAAAAGTAATCAAACTTACATCTAAGTTATTATTTCCATCTTTTCGTGCGATCGCGTGTAATGTAAGTCAAATGACATCTCGGCTTTCGTCGCCTTAAATTCTCGGCTCGGACACGATGTTTATTACTAAAGAAAATACGGCATTCATCATTTGCCGATTGACAACGATTTGTTGTTGTTTTGACTTGCGCAAATATAGAAAAATACTTCGTGTTTTTGAACGGCGAAACGACCGCCTTAGCTGTCACCTGGGCGGATGTCGTACAGCGCATGCGTGGGTACTAAACTCTTAACATCGTTAGTGCATTACTTAATAACGGAAAGTGCTTCCTTCATTCCAGGTATGGAGCTTCATATCGAAAGCGAAAACAGAACACATGGCCAACAGTGATTTTGTCGATGTTATTATGTTCTGATATCGAATTTTTTCACTGAAGTTACCGCACTTATATTAAAAACAATCTTTTTTAATATCTTATGACAAGAGATATTTAGTCGCCAAACTTAATTAAAGACAAGGAGCCAGTTGGCGACTGACATGAAAATACCAGTCGCAAAATACAAAACTAGATCGCCATGGCGACCAATTTAGTCGCAACTTTGTGGCCTGCCAAGGTCGTCTTAATGATAGATGATAAGCCACCAAAGAAGACAATCACTGGTGCTTACTATGCAGATCTAATGAAGAAATTGCGAAATGTAATCAAAGAGAAACGGCGCGGGATGTTAACTGCTTGTGTTTTGCCTCTTCACGACAATGCACCTGTCCACAAGAGTAGGCTAGAGTTGCGCAAGCCGCCATTCGTGAATGCAAGTTTGAACGATTGAATCATCCCCCATATAGCCTAGTCCAGACCTGGCACCAAGTGACTATTATCTGTTTCGAAATCTCAAGTCACACCTGCGTGGAACGAGATTTGCCAATGATGACGACCTCATTGCTGCTACAGAAGATTGGTTTGGGGGGCAAGCAGAAGACTTCTATTTTCAGGGAATTGAGAGTCTACAGCATAAATGGGAAAAGTATATTCAAGTGCATGGAGATTATATTGAAAAATAAAAACATGAAACTCCATTTACACCTTGTTATTATATTGAGTTCTATGAACTTTTTGACCATCCCTCGTAAATGTAGCCAGGTAAGTAAATGCCATTTCAAAGGCTAATGAAAATGGATTCTCACTGATGAGGTTTCCAAAATTAGGCCCCCTATCGAACTTCTATTTTCGAGTAGAGAATGACTATGTTGTTGTCAAATTTTCAATGTTTTAGGATTGTCTTGCTATTCATTTTTAAGGTTTAATCGTATTTAACCACACGAATGCAAGTGGAGTCATGTTTTCTGTTCATTTTGAGCTTCATCGCCGTATTAAAAATAGTCACGCTATCACGTGAAGCATCAAAGAAACATGGCAGATGGTATCAGGTATTCTGTACGTGAACCATTAGGCCTCTGTCTCCTAATTAATAATCACAACAATCAACGGAAGGTAAAGTTAAAAGTAGGTAGCTACCTGTTTCCTTTGCTTTCCAAGCCTGATTGATGATATTAGATGATGATTGGCGCCGTTCCTGCTTTCCAGTCGTCGAAGCGCAGAGCGAAGCCGTAACCGTTAAAAAGTATGACGTAGTTCATATTGGCGACCAATCAACGTATTAGACACCAACTACGAAGCGGGAGTGTGCTCGCGCTGGTCAAAGCATTCGTGACCAACTCGTGTTATTCCGGGACAAGCCGAATAGCGACTCGTGCCCTAAGTTGGGCCCCGTCTCTAATATCACAAGTTGGCGACACGCATAGGGAGCCGGGAACCACCTTACTCGTGCCCCTCTCATGGCCATTTTTGCGACCGGGTTCCGTCTTAGCGCAAACGGGCATACCTAAAACAATTGTCAACTCGTTGCGTAATGGTTCACATGTATTTTCCCATATTTCAGATGCAATTTAAAGCTCATCGTGACATGCAGAATTATACAGTATGATTGAACACATTTAACTGTGTCTTGGTTATATTTTGAGGTGCAAGACATATGTAAAATCAAAAATTATTTCTGAGGGATTCTTTGACGAAGAACTTGAAATCATACGCGCATTCTGAGTGGTGACGAATGTGGTCAAAGGAGTCTCGTCGTCTCAACTGGTCCCCTGTTTGGTAACTGCTAGAACGCGGTAAGGGTATTCATTCGGTGAAAAAATACAAAGTTGAAAGAAGGTACAAATGTACGCCATAATAGTCAAATGTTATGAATAAAACATGAATATTACCAAAATAAGGCAATTATCTAAATGAAACTCAAAATACAAAACAATACCAATGAACAACTCAAATAAAAGACGCCATGTAAAGAAAGAACAAAGCGTACTAAAGAACGTCAGCGCACAAAAAGGACATAACCCCCTGGATGCCAGAGGGACATATATGTCCTTCCTCTACAACCCTCACTTTGAAGTCGAATAAAATTCAACATACATCATGCACACTAATACACATCACAGTTTTGAATAAGGTGGGTGTTCTGTGATATTATTCATTGGCTTTTTAGGCCAAGCAAAAGTACAAAAAATGACCTCTGAAAATTAGGTACTTCATAAATGTCGCCATGTTTTACACATTACTAAATCACCACTCGCCGCGTTATTTACAGCATGTTCTGGCATCTAAATTTCGGATATTTACTCCGATAAATGAATTTCAAAAATAGCATATTAGTGATCACGGGTATCTGTCCTTTATGAAATCACCAATGATCATTTAAAAACGTCTCCGATAACCCTAGAATCGTTTAGAATGTTTTGGAAAATACGCAAACACGAACGCCAAAGTGAACTTTCCGCCATATTGGATGGTGTTTACAAAATCACGTTTCAGGTACACCGGTTATGAGGCGCCTGTAACATCCCGTATATTCCAAACTTTGCTGCGATACACACATCCTTGAATTCCTCATACATTTTAGAATCGTATGAACAATGGTCTTTGTCACCAATACGAAGTGGCTGGATGAAATCAAGCAATATAAGTCAGGTGTGAAAACGAACGCTGTGCTCGAAACACTGCACTTGTTTGAAGTGTAAACAAAGCAAAATACAGATTTTACACACTGTAGCATTTTCTCCTATTTTGAGCTATCCATTCGTCTATTCGTTCAAAATATTGGCTCAACATTTGCAGAATAGTCATGGGAAGAGAATCGTAGGAAGAAATAGGGAATTTAAAATAGATACATTGACAACTTCTGTTGTAAATATCAAATCATTGCAAAGTTACCGTCCTGTGTGACGCCATGACTGACGCAAAATCACGCACAACGACAACGGTATTTATCGGAATTTCTGACTATTTCGGTTGTTTCAATGAAAATTATAACAACAAATAACAGTAAATAGATTGTCAGAATGTTTCTGATTACTTACATGTCACATTTATGTAAATACGATCCCTGAATCAACGAAAGTCCCCTCGTAAAATCCCGCGTACTGTTGACAGTGAACACGCAATTTCGTAAAAGTCGGTCCCAGGTAGTGATGTCATACGTCAACATTGTTGTACATATTTGGTAATTTCTTTGAGGTGAAGGTCCTTGAATGAGAGTGCACACGATCATTGTACCATGCTGGTTACAGTTTCAGTTATGATGCAGATTTTGCATATCTTTTGTACATTTATTCACACAATAATATTCTAATTTCACTTTGGACATTTGTCAATGTTCAAAATGATATCATACGTAAATATCGGCCACAACATGTATGAAGGAACCTTTGATAATCTAGCTCCTGTTTGTTAGAACATTGTTTACATAACAATTGATAGTTTTTTAGTGTCGCATACGATATTTCTTTCCTTTGGACAAGTGTTACAAGAAGTGTAAATGTAACTGCAGCATGTACGTATTTCTTGGGATGTGTAAGAGTCAATATTATAAGTTCATATTAGCAATGTCCATGAATAGCCGTTTCATTTTATTTTATAACTAAAACTGAATATATTACTTTTACCCAAAAAAATCGGTAAAATATATGCACACATTTCTGAAAGAACTGTCTTGGTTTTGGAACTGTTTTTGATGTCGTTTGATACACAGAACATTGATATCTAACGATTCGGCAGGTGCGCGTTAGTCACACACATTTTACGAATTATTCCTCTCGTTTTGCATTATATACCCAGCTAACACACGACGTTGTCACAACGTTGTTGAAAGGTTGTGGATTGGTAACGTCGTGATATAACGTTGTCACAACGTTATTTTAACGTCGACCAGCAACGTTATTTCATAACGTTATAACAACGTTGAACATCCACGTTGTGAAAACGTTGTGCATTGGACATCACACAACGTTTTGTAACTACGTTTCTGAAACGTCGGGGAAACGTTATTGAGTTTGCTTCTCGGTAGTCATAAAGGAATAGAACTGCTTTATCAAAATCAACATGAATTTGTCAGAATACCAAGGCAGTAATGCATTACCTTTCTATATATTCGGCATTTGAATTTTCATCTCTTAATACTAAAATTTCCAGAACGTAATTGCGTATATCTATGACAACGTTATTCCACAACGTTACAACAACGTTGCAAATTAACGTTGTGATAACGTTGTGCTTTGGACATTACAACACTTTTTGTAAATGATGTTTAGGAAACCACTTGTAGATCTACCATCTCTTAGTGTTATTTTTTTAAACATATTTATCTATTAACGAAGTTATCTGTCTACTAAATGTTGTCACAAGCAATATTAAAGTTAAAAACACATTGGCGCGTATTTTTTGCGGCGTGAGAGCGACTGCAGAAAAGTTTAGCCTGTTGCCTCGTGAAGTGACGTCAGAATGACGTCACATTGTCGCGGAAGATTTGTTGTCACCAGCCATCTTAGTTCAAACTCACTCTGGACATAATATATTACAAGCAAATGATTGTGCAGCAACTGGAACTGGACAGATGATCTGTGAATTCGGATGAGGTAAGTTAATTTTTCAAAAGTAGTCTCCGCTTGTTGATATGTTTCTGTACATGCAGATCGTCAAATGATTTAAATGTATGGTATTATTCAGAAGTGGCAGGGTTTAGGCTAGAATGCAGTTTGCCGGTCACTTTCACTGAGCGTCAGTGTTGATATTAATATGATACACAGAACATGATGATAGAGGTGAAGGGGGCCCAAGACTTTTTTCCATATTATTATTTTATGGATACCAAGGGTAATTACCGAGGGCAAGCGGTATATGTTTGACCAGAATTCAGTCTGGCGGCTTTATGTGGCCGTCATATTATGTTCGGGTTTCGATCGTAAGCGTGTAGGTCTGTAAATAGGCCTAACTTATGCATCGCCTACTGACCACTGACAGTTATCGCCATTTCTTCCGTGTTATTTCTGAAATCATTACTATTTAAAGTTTACATGTACTAATCTTCTGACTTTGATGTTTGTGAAACAATGTGGCTCATTCAGGCCATGGGAAAGGTTTAGTAGATGCCGATTTCTCTTATACAGCGAAAAGAGGGAATCAAAACAATGGAAATATTTTCAGATCGACTCTCTGTAGGCTGCTAGTTATAGCCCTAGTCTAAAGCGCTGATGTTATGAAAATTTTTTGGTATTTTCGGGAAGAGACAGAAACATACTTGTTGTTTCCGAAAAGGCCTAATTAGCACTGACTTAAGTAGCCTAAATGGGGATCATCAGGTTGTTGGTGCTGTCTATGAAGTTTATAATAGCAAGGCGCTTATCATGTGTATTTTTATTATTTCCAAAAAAGAATCAATTCATCATTTTCCAATAACTAGATCTATGTCCGACTCCCTTCTAATGAAAACGAGCAAAAGTAAAACGAGTCTCTCGTCGCGCTATAACGGGGTGTTTGCGGTATTGTCCTCGCTGGTGATGATAAGCTAGTCGATAGTCAAAATTTAGATATCACCATATATTGTCAGTGAGTTGGTCATCGTTTGTTGATTATTAAGGTGAGATAGGTGTAGCCAATGTGCACCAATGAAAAATACAATGGAATTGATAGCAACCTGTTACCATATTCGTTCGGTTTTCGATCTCCATATGTTGCCACGTAGGCTACCATACTACATAATTATATTTAACGATATTTAACTGTATTAGATCTATGTTAATAAACGTAGTGACAAATAAATTTCAATAAATATTTAGAGCTGTTTCAACTTCGTCTGGTATTGTATAAGCTATTGCATTTTGTTAATTTCCCCATGTTTCTAATCTTTGTAAATGTTAGAACATATATAACTATCCTGGCATATTAATATGGAAAATATGAAGGTAGATATAAGTATTAAAAAAAATAATCAAAGTTTTAATTGGGATAAATACCCCAAAGTGTCAACACTTCTATCACTTATTGGTGAGCCAATTCATAATTCATATTCAACATTCTTGCTTCAAATATGGGAACTATTTATTTTATTTGGCAATATATATTTTTCATTTATGTACATATTTTTCAAATAAGGTTTTGTAAACTTGGCCATGATATTCACTTGAATCACTAGTTTGTGATGTACAGCAGAAAGGTAAAGTTACTGCTTTTGAACAACTACAGTTGATCTGTTGACTGATAAAAAACTATTTGCCAATATTACCACCAGTTACATCATACTCTATTAGTCTAAGTAAATGGGATTTATCTATACAGTA